CGGTGACTGTTCGCTCTTCACCCGTGTGAAGCTGGCCTCCCAGTATTAAAAAATCGTTTCTTTTCTTCATGCATTTGTTTGCTGATCGTTTATTCACGAATTCTCAGTTGGAATTTTCGTTTGCTCACCCTTAGTTCAAAAGATTTATGAGCAAACTAACGATGAGCAAACGAATGCATGAAGAAAAAAATCTTTTTTTTAATTCGATACCAAAACTTAATTTTCTTGTATCTTTTAAATTAAGGGTGAGCAAACGACAATCGATTGATTGTCTGTCTTTATTTGCTAACGGATCGATAATAATGGACTTAGGGAAGATTCGAACCAAAAAATCATGGACATTACCGACACGATCGTGGACATTGGCTACATAGTTTAATATCCACGTTTTGTGGACATAGAGGCGCTTCAAAATAAAGTTGCAGCTAATTCCCGGGCATGGCCGCTCTCAGGCTTCTCTCTGATTATACCCATTTTTTTTACAAATGTGTTAAAATATATCGCGCGTGTTTATATTTTAAATAAGTTATATATACATATATATGATCCCGGCAATTGATCGCTTTAATAGCTGCGTTCGGTAATAGCAAATCTGAGGCGTCGGAGTGCTCTTATATTATAGTATATGTCACGTGCACTATAGAGAAAGAGCACTCCGACGCCTCGGATTTGCATTGCCGAACGCAGCTAATGTACTTAAGAACAAAGAACAGACCTCATGTCTAACCTAACCTAATTGTGTAACTCTAACCTCGTCTATATCTAACATAGCTTCCAATTGCAGTGCTCAGCGATAATCAATATTAACAGGTATTAATCAGATATTAATTACTTATACTGTACGTGTCCGGCGAGTAAATAAACACCTTTATTTTTTTATGTGAGATCTAAAAGGTATTGATATATTTTAGTAAATATGAGCGAAGCAAAAAAAGAAGAGAAAACGCCACTCCGCGATTTTGAATGGATGGTATGCGATTACATCTGTATTCATGTAATTTTCCATTGGATATTCAATTTGGATTAAATCTGTATTTGTATATTTTTTTAGATTAGACCGTGTATGATGTACAAGGACGAGTACGATGACTGCACCAGTATAAAGGCTCGTTTCCATCAATACTTCATATTCGGCAAAACAGTTGATTGCGACCAGTGGAAGATTGATTATCGGAATTGCTATCAATGGGAAAAGCACAAATCGGAAGAGGCATATGTATGCAGGTTGCCATAAACGTTTTGACAATAACACATCTGAATATATGGTGGACACTAAGAGAGAAAACTTTTAGTATTTGTAACTGTAAATACTATAATTACCTGTTACTATAATTATTACTGCTGTATAATGTTAGTTATAATAACTTATCTTTATAGTTCTATAAATATATATAGGAACCAAAAATTTTACTATAATTATACTTATTATCTTAAAAATTGGTTGCAGTTATTATGATTTAACTATAATTTATAGTCTTTTGACTCAAATATAGTTGCCAAAAAAATGACTATACAGTATATAGGTAAATTATAGTAATTACAACTATTTTTATGATAATAATGACTATAATCAGTCATTTTCCATAGCCAACTGTATATAGATATATTTGTTGATACATATTATTATTACTATTATTAACATTATAACAGTAATCATCATAATTATAGTAATATGCAATTATATATACATATATATATATATAGTTATAAATACCATAAATTTTTCTCTCAGTGAAATAAAACAATATTGGAACGAATTCTTCACAGGACTCGCTGATCAAGAGTGAGAAGCAACGTCGACATAATCGATTGCATGCGCATTATCAGAACGATATCTGGGAGAGGAGGGAGAAACCGCCAGAGAACTGGAACACTTCTCTGCCCGAATGGATGCAAAAGGAGTTTGAAAATTCGTATCTGCATATACGAAGCAAAGAGATGAAGGAAGGCATAGAGACATCTTCTCTCGACACGAGATGTATTATATTGTAACAGCGGATTTCTTGTGTTAGAGCCCAGACACAAGCTTTTGCATAATGCATAACGCATAGTATATAAAAGAATCAGCCAATCAGAGTATTCTTCTTTTCTGTGAAGTAAAAGGAAAGGAGGGATTCAGATTGGTTGATTCTCTTATGCACTATGTGTTATGCCAAAGTCTGTGCTCCCCGCTTTATCTTAAGATTAAATGTAGCTTGTACATACATGTATTTATTGTTTAAAGTCACATGTGTACAATAATACGTATGTAAAGTTTTCCAGTCTGTGAATAAATACGTGATCATGGCACAAGATTAGATATCTCACGTTTGCGACAGACTATGTCCAATTTGTGGTAATTCCATATATGGGTAATTCGTACTCCTTGATTTCATTAGGCTTTTTCAGAGCTAACAGTGCATCTATAATATTAGATCCATTCAATTATGAATCTTTTCATCAAAAATGTTAATTCAATTTCTTTTGTGTTACATCTGCAAACTAAAATTATTATACTTAAAAATCATTTTTTTTATACGAGTAATGTCAGTTTAATTAAATGTTTTTTGATGATATTAATGTCTTTTAATCCGGAAATAGTTATCTACTTATATACTCCATCTATAAGAAAATATAAATTGTTTTAAAATATTTTTTTTTTATAATCGTTATTTTACTGTATAAATATTTATTTAATGCTAGTCAAAAAAAATATTAAGATTTATATAAATATTAAAAAGTATTAATATTTAGTAAATTTTTTTTCATTGTATTGGACTCGTGAAAGACGACAATTAGGAAAAATTAGAAAATTATTTGAATCAAATCTTGTATGTACATACATACTCGAGCAACGTTTTTGGAACGCAATGAAATGCGTGCCGCGCATGCGCGAGATTTGTTTTCCTTGAACTGAACCACCGGCCGTGAACGACGCGACGGAGCGGAACAATAACGCGGGGATCATTGCGTCGTCGGTAAAGTCGCGGACATGCGTGGTCGTCTGTATCGCCGAGGAGTCGATTCGTGCGCTGGTGGAAGAAGATTTAAGTCGCGGGGGATCGCGAGACGCGAGCAAACGAAGCAAGTGGAATGTCCATGAGTGTTTTCGAACGTCGCGCCGCGCGACCCTTCCACTCCTTCTCGCGCTCTCTCCTCCCCTCTCCGTCCCTCCTCCGTAATTACGCCGCTTTTTCCGTTCCACATAAGTGCGTCCATACACACACGCACGCGTCGGGAGTTCCAACCGAATCAAGTTCCGCGTCTGTTCTACTACGTAGTGGTTGGCGAGAGTGTGCGATGGTGTACGACGCGGGACGACGCTCCATTGAATGAATGACATAACTTATATATATGTGTGTATATTATAAATATCGCGTGTACATCGGATCGCGTGATTGACGTGCCTTAACACGGAATAAGTCGGAGTCGGTGCGATCTGGTGCGATCGGCGTCCAAGGAGTATCCCGTACGTTTTACGCGTTCCGCGGCGCGTCGAACGTAGCGTGCGCGCGCGCGTGCGACGGCGCCGCACTACGGGCGGTGCGGAACGAGAGCGGAGCGGAGCGGTGCCGTGGCGTGGCGTCGCGCGGCACGTGCGTTCACTGCCGTATTTTGTCTCCGCTATTGCTCCAAGGAGGCAGCGAGCCATTAATTGATAATAAACCTGCGTTCACTGTCAGCGTCTTACGAGAGCGACAATGGCCGCGGACTGCGTGGCGGACGGCGATTACCTCGGCGAGTATTCGCGATTCTTCGCCGAGTTCGTCGCCAGGGTGAACCCGGACGATCAGCTGCCGGTGAAGGTGAGCGTCTACGACGTCAACGAGAGCGAGCTCGTCGGTGAGATCATCAACGTGACTCTACAGTACCTCAATCGAATGTAAGCAAACGCGTTTGTTGTTTGGATTAATCATCGTAGGAGTGGTGTGTGTGATGCGTGCGCTGTCATGCGTTTTTGCGTGCGTTCGCATTTGACATTCCGTGTATACCGACATGCCGAAATCATGCATGACTCCGCGCCTGCGTTTGTGAAGCGCGAGACTCGTTGCTTTCTAATCTCTCGTATCTGTAAAGACAATTTTATCTTTCGACAAAAAAAAAAAGCTTGGGATATCTAGAAAAAAAAAATGAGAAATATGCAATTTGATTTAATTGCCTCTGAATCGTTTTTTGTAAGCGTTAGATCGGATTGCGGCTTAATCGATGATTCATCATTTCTGTAGATAGGATAATAAACACCAATTAACATAACATTGATGTCATAATTTCACATACTCAACAATACGTATATATTATATGTTTTATGTAACATTGTTGAGTATAAAATTATAACATCTCGAGATGTTATGTTACTATTACTTCGTGTTCACTGGAGAATGAAAAAAGACGCGCATTAATTCAAATTGTAATCAATTTTTTTTACTAATATTTAAATAACAAAAAAGCGAGTAGCCACAGATAAATAGATCAATTAAAAATTCTTTTAATTATATAATACAATAACAAATATAATAACATTAAACTGGACGTTAGATGAATCACCGCCAGATTATGTATTGCACCAAAATTGTATGGTATAAATGGGACTATCATATGACGATAATTTTTATCCAGGTAGAGACGCTTCGGAGATATCAAGGTCAACTTCGTTTTTTTAAACGGAATTATATAAATGTTTTTTTATAATTAACGTGATTCCCCTAATTCTTCTTCTAATTTAAAGTAGTTAGATAACGGTAATTATATTATATCGTGCAATATTTATAGTTATACAAATTTTTCTCTAGACCCTATAGATTTAAAGATATTTCAGATGCTAATAGTTATTGAGACACCCTGTATAATAGAAGAGCATGAAGAAATAAAGAACATGAGCTAATTTTAAATCTTTTAACTTTTTACTTCTTTTAACACCGTTCAAACTGGGTTACTATGAAAATTATTTAACGATGGTTCATTTAGTTTAGATGTCATTACATTTTAAAATTATATTTGTTTTATTTTTAATAAATTTTCACATATTAAAATTAAAAGAAATGTTTTAAATTGATGGATTTTCTAGCTTGTGTTTAAGTATCTCACATAATTTGTTGTTTTTCGATTTTTAAAAAATAAACAGACACAAGTTTATTAACTATTGTATTAATAAACTTAAAGGTCTCTTGGGAATCTAATAAAGTATTAAAGTTATTATAATATTTTCGAGACACCTTATATATACAATATATTATAACGACATCATTGCGATAGTTGATTTTTTAATAGAGTATACAAGAAGAAATCCGAGAAAGTTACGAAATATTTTCTCTTGTAATTCTGAATAAACGCGATTTTTTTATATTGCAGCTATAGCACAAATATACTCGAGCTCTTTCAAAGACGCGAGAATATCGTGTGCGGCGTGGAAAAAAGTCGGCACGCAAAAAAGTTACGCATAGTTGCACGGTGCCTCACGCGAGCAGGAAACGTACGTAAAATTATGTAAGAAATTTGCCCTCTCGAACTGCGAGTTCTTCGAAGGCGCGAAAAGACCGAATCGTCGTGAGATGAAAGCTACTTCCGTGCTTATCTACTTTAACTGAAACCGTCACGGGACTATCGCCGCCCATCGTTATCACGAACCAGACGGAAAGGATAAACACTATACGCACGATACATGATAAACGAAAGATAGCCATAAATATTTAAGCTCACGCTTCTTGTAGTTGCACTGCATGTATATGTTTCTTTATGATTGTGTGTGTAATTTTTTCTTTTTACTTTGTCTTTTGTAAAGAAATTCTGAGTATTCTGTTTATTTTATTTTTAGTGTGAAGAATATAAATAATACAAGGATAAATTTTTGATTAAAGATCTGTATATTAACCCTTTTTAGAATATTTTTTAAATTTTGTAAAAGTGTAGAAAAAGATGTTCTTTTTTCTTCCTCATTTAAAAATCTTAATAGCAAATTTTTTATATATTTAATTACTTGTAGGATATTAAAAAAAAAACTAAAACTATAAAAAAAAAATAAAACTATTGTTATGTTAATACTTTCATATTTTATTATATCAAGAAAGACTCCAAACTGATTAAAAAGTACATTTGTACTGATGAAGTTGGTATCGCTTTGTAAATATTTTTCGGAAGTAAGAAATACGATAAAAGTCATGCGATTTGGTTTCAGATACTGTCCACCAAGCTTACAATCCTATATTTCACGTCTCGTAATACAAGCGATCAAATCAACATGCAAAAAACAGCCGGAAATCTGCGGACTAAGGCAGCAAGAAAAGAGTAAGTTTTTTTTTTATATACATATATATAATTTCGTAGTATACTTTAATAAAATTTGCAAAAAAAAAGAAACGAAATATGAACTGTTTATTTAAAAAATTACGTAGACAACTGATTTCTAAATATTATAATTTTAACGTACAGTCAACGTAATGCTATAAATGCTTTTTTTTGATTGGCTATAGTAAAATTCTTTCTTCTGATTGGTCAAACAAATGTTTCGAAGCATTCGTAGTGAGACTTTAACCGCAACTTTAATGAAAATAATAACTATTGATAAATTAAAGATTTTATAAAATTTATTATATTTGAAATAAATAGCTCGTACAACGATCAAAATAATTTATAAACGATTTAATTTAACGAATTAATTTATTTCTCATAATTCCATATAAATTTTTCGATGGATTTTTTCGCAGCGTACGCCCCTTTGAAACTCATGCAGGCCGTCACAAATGAAGTAAACGAGATTTGCAGACGGTATTTAGATAACAGCAGGCTAGCCCTCTTGCCACCGCCTTCATCAACGCCGCAAGTGACAGTGGGTGCTATCAGAAATGCCAGAAGAAAAATGGAAGACCGCCACATGATTTTGCACGACTTAAATACCATGTTTAATATTCAGGTGAAGATCCCGCTAGCTGTTCGCAATCATTTAATTGATTTAATTAATAATTTAATATATAATTTTGAAGTAATAAGCATTAATTTGCGTGTTAAAGTTTATTAATAATTATATTAAATTAATTTTGACGTTATATTGACATATTAATATATGAGCTGATACGTTAATTTGTACTTTGCAGGATGACACTATCGTGGATTACTACGCAGTATTTGATGGCCACGGTGGACAGGACGCCGCGGCGTATTGTGCGACACATTTGCATCAGTATTTGGTCGAAAGCGTGCACTATCCTACTGATCCGGAAAGGGCGTTGCGCGATGCCTTCCTGACGACCGATGCACAATTCATAGCGAAATCGAGTATGCAGGTAAATATTTCTTACGTGAAATGCTATATTTTATTTGTATAATCGCTACCGATGACTTTATTGATTCGTTATCTCGTTACAGAAATTGAATGGTGGAACCACCGCGGTTTGCGCGTTGCTGATAAATAAGAAATTGTACATTGCTTGGGTTGGCGACTCTATGGCTTCTCTGGTTTCATACGGCAATGTCAGACAATTGGTCAATCCTCATCGACCAACGAGAGAAGTAAGTAACCTAAATTTTCTATTTTCTTTAATAGAATAGAAGTTGAAATATTCCTGTTTAAATCGCGTATCCAGTTTAAATCTTTAAAATATCCCGATCTTGCGACGAACTTCAATTCGTATTTATAGCTGAACGTTAATAATTCTTGATGCGAAACTAATTTAGCCCATCGATTTAATCAATAGTTCACCAGTTTAACAATTTTTTTAAGCTTATTCGAGAGACTATGTTTTTAATTTTTATTAAAATACTCTTTTGCTATTATTATATCTTCATTCTTTGAAAGAGAAAAACCACTATGAAGATTAATTTTATGATTAAAAAATTTAATTAGTGTAATAACGTTGAATGATACTGATATCTCTAATTGTCATATGTAATTTTGCTTCGAATCACGTGATCGTACAATATTACGTGCTCATAAAACGGGCAATGTACCCGAACTCGCGTCGTTTGTACACCAGGTGATATGGCAGTCGGATCGACCGTAATCACCTGTCTGTCGTGAATATTTTTAAACAACAATCCACGTTTGGGATCTATGATCGGTACATAATTACGAGTCTCGTTCAAATACGTTTTCCCCATTCTCCAGTGATAATATGCGAGATCTCGCTTGAGTGGCGACAATTTTTTCTCCCCTCGGTAATACGGTAGCCAATCTTCCGATTTAAGTCGATCGTAAAAGTCAATGTAAGCTGATTCTTCGAACTGTAATTTTGTTATGAAACGTCGGATGAATATGATGGTCGACAGAATCCTTAATCTGTTGGCTCGTTCGCGCAGGGCAAGTTCCTTCATTAACGTACTAGCTGGTGACACGAATTCCGAAGTGAGTTCGTAATGCCGGTGAACGGGAAACAGTAGATCTCTCACGATTTGTAAGCGACGATAAAAGCTCTCCTCGCTCAGAGTCTCGCCGGTGCAGCGATATCCGAGCTCGGCCAACTGGCGCGCGGTTTTGCTGCTTTTGAAGTAGCAAATATCTGCAGGTGTCATCAGCGAGTCTAAATATTCTTCATAATTTTGAAAACTCAGCAATCTTCTGTCGCTGTCAATCTGCGTTCCGATGACAGTCATGTTTATAAAAGAATAGAGATATAGAGACAGAAGATTTTATTTTTAAACCGGTAATTTACGTTGTCATTGACGCGACACATACGGAATGCTTTGTATTATGAACAATCGAGACGCGTAAAATGTGAATCCAAAAGGTAATCCAAGCGAGAGTATCGACACGTAAATATCGACACGTTTGACATCTATACAATACGTTATCACGAGAATGTTATGCTCGACTCGCTTTTACTGACATTGCCACGTGCAAAATCTATCCAAGCCGGGTATGATGTGCCCTATTTACTATATACATATATATTTCACGATCTTTTTCCTTTAGGATGAGAACGAACGGATTCGCAATATGGGAGGAGTCGTCGTCCAATGTATGGGTGTCATGCGAGTAAACGGATTCCTCAGTATATCCCGAGCTATTGGTAAGTAATTGTAATGTACGTTTTCTATTATTGCAAAATATAAAAATTTATTGAAAATAAAAAACCCCTTTAACATTTCTAATTCCGTGATACGGCAAAATACTCAAAGCGTTAAATCTGAGTGATGACCTTTCTTAAGAATCATTTTCAGAAGACCATTTTCAAAAATAAGTAAAATCTTTCAAATAATATGAATTTATTTGGTTTGCATAAAATAAAAAATGTAACTTTTTATTTTTGTCACAAAAAATTTACAGGTACACCGCAAGTTGCGTAGTATCTGCGTTAAAGAAACGTCTAATGCCTATTTTTATCAATATAGATTAACATTCATCTTGATCTAATTTATTCTTTATCTTTTTCTAATTTTTAGAACTAGAAAACTATAATGAGTAAGTTGAACCAAGGTTAAAGTTAATTAACATAGAAATAGACATACCCAAGCGGAACACTATAGATTACGATATCATTTTAACATTAAAATAAATTTTAACTGATCGTAAATACTGAAGTAAAGTAACTTTTAATTATATTGAAATTATTTTTACCTCTTTTTTTATAATAACTTTTGTTACAATGACTAGAATCTGCTAAGATATAAGGATGACTTGGACTAACTTCGACTAACTTAATTGACGCTTAACTCGTAAAGTTCCTACAATAGTTTGTTAATTAATAGAAGACGGTTGTAATAATATAACAAACTTTTTGTTATTTAACATAAAAAAACTTAGACGGACTTAGAATTATAGCTAGAATTCTCATTGTTTTACTGATTGAATTAATGAACGATTAAGTTACTCGAATTAGTTTGAGGTTACTTTTTTATAATATTTTTTGATAAAACTTTTACTACTGAATTTATCAGTCGACCTTCATCGCGATGAAAAAGATGGTACGATATGAAAGTATAGATGGAGACAGTGTGGTCGATCATGACATAGGTAATAAACGATGCTCGCACATCGTTTAGAATTTTTCACGTACGAAACGCGAAGTCGCACGTAAGAAACCAATATTAGTTTCGAAGTCTCGATGTTTCATATAACTTTATAGAATTTATAAAAATGTAAATATAAAAATTGTGTACGAATTAAGATTTCATCACGATCTAATTATTTAATATTTCTAGAAACCAATTCAGTCGATACTACTAAGAGTAACATATAACAACGTTATAATTTTGTAGACAACAGTAAAACTGTTATGTAAAATTAGTGTTTTATTACATTTATAGCGTTGTGTGAATAGCGAATTTTACTGAAGTATCTAAAAATTTAGATAGATACAAATCTAAAAATAATATCATTGGGCAATCAAAATAATTATATAGAAAATTCAAGTATGATGAGCAATGTTGCAAAATATTTTGGTACTCTAACAATCAATTTCAACGTCTTACTTTTGATAGTCCAACAAAATTGTTTTTAGATCTATTGTACATATATCCAGTTAAATTTTTGAATACTTCAAAATCATTCTGTCCGTGAATGTGAAATTATAACATTGATGTTATGTGTTATTTTTAATTAGTATCAACTGGGTAAAGATAAAATTTAAAACTAATCTTTTCGAATTTTTGAAATTAATTATGTTTAATTCTTTCTCTTTTGTAAAAGTATATTAGATCATGGCTGCACCGAATACGTCGCACGGAAATGTTATTTATCTCCATTTTCTTAGGCGATTGTAAGAAAATTACTTTTTCGCTTTTCACGGTCTATGAAATCTCTAGTCTACGCACGTAGTCGAAAGCATGATACGCAACTAATCTTGAGATCGACATTATTTTCGACGGATTCAAATTAGTACGGTAGACGGAAGTAATCCATTTTTATTGGAAATGTTACTTTCGAATTGACGTAAACAACGTAAGTTTACTCGGAGAATTAAAATCATTTCGATATCGAGCTTTTGGTCGCAAATAATCTGTCGCACGATTTCGAAACAAACTCGAAGTCGTT